TATATATATATATATATATATATATATATATATATATAGTACATGCCTAAGATTAGTGTATAAAACGGGTCATTGCATCTGCAGCCAAGCACTGTGCATGTAGTTACACCTTTTCACACAAGCAACTTAAATGCACATTTCTGAAAGTTTGGCCTTCTGTGTCTTAAAGGTACCTATACTGCAGAACAAGTAGACACATCCTGCATGGCATACTGTAGAGCATAAGATGCAGAAAGGGTGGAAGTTGTATCTCCCACAGCTGTATATTCTGAAGCCTGAGAAACACAGGGCTGAGATCAGCTCTTTCTCCAGGGTAATTTTAGATACAATCCTATCTTCCTCCAGCATCCTGAGACACAAGCATCAGATAAGAAATGCTACCACAGCATATCCTTACATATGCCATCCATACAGCTGGGGGAGACATCCCAATAACACTCAATACTTTACAGGAACAAAGATTAGCAAGTAAGCCTGTTTTTAATTAAACATGTGCACGGTTTAACACTTGAGGTATAAACAGAGCATCTCCCTGATCAGCAAAAGAAAATGACTGCAAAGCCAAGATGCATTAGAATTTTTTTTTACTAATTTTCAAATATTTCAGATAGACTCAGTGAAATCTGTAATGAGCAAACAGCAATTACACAAATATAAATGGTGCTCTCACATACCAATTCACAGATGGTATTCTGCACAGCTGTAAACAAAATCAGAATTGCAAGTTCTTTTTCATCCTGGTGCCTTGCAGTATTTCACTCCCTCATTCCCAGTGTAATATTTCAATGAAAGAGTGGGAGAGAGACAAGCTTACCTATCACTCGATGATTAAAGTAATCTGGCAGCATCCTCTCACACACAGCAACCAGCAGCCAAAAAGCTTCCTCCTCTTTGGCATACAACAACAACACAGAGGTCAAAATATTCATAGACTGTTATGAGGTCAAAGAAGAAAATGGGATTTATTAGTTGCAGAACCCCCGCTTTCACCAAAAGCTCCTAGAGCAGGGCTGCTTTAAAAAACAACAATAAAACTTTTCAGATAAAACATCAATTAATTGGCAGGAGAAATGCCTTTCACCCCCAGGGCTCCCACCGTCTGACAGCTTACCACAAAACACTGCTCTTCTTACTGCGGAGATATCCTTTTTTTTTTTTTTTGGCCGGGGGGGTAGTTGGGGGGGGAAGGAGGGAAGAGAGAGACTGATTCTCTTATTGCAACCCAGCTAAGACTTTAAGCCATAGGGCGATTTGCAAGTTCATACATGCCACTCTTGCATAGATGGTTCATGTTGCCCCACATGAAAACACAGCATTATATCTGTCAAGACGCAAAATGGGCATCCAACTGTGTCATAACATGGGTTTTCTGCCTCTGTAGAGGTGTCTGCATGGAAGATAAGGGAGCTGGCTCATGGGTCTAGAACTACACTACTCCCCTGGTCAGAACTCAGGAGGCTGGAGGGGAGGTGGAGACATTATTAGAGCCAATAGGTTGTAATTACACTGCACGGGTGCTATGTACTTGCCACCAGCACGGGAAGAGGAGGATTTCAGCTCACCAAATCCCTGCACAGGTCCCCTATGTGAAGCTCATCTTTGTAGGCCAGTTTACTTTGCTCACTCGCTGAGCGCTGCATGAGATAACTTGCACTCAGCACTAACAAGAGTAGTGGGAATTTATTTTTGACTCTCAATGAAAATTCTGAACATACACAGGGAACAAGTCTGAGTCAGAAAGGGCCATTCTTACATCCTCATTTTTCAGAGTAGAACTACACAACATTTAAATTATTCTTTCATTATGTATGCAACAAATCAAAGCACGTTATTTATAATAGAGTCATTGCAAAACCCACTGAGGGGATAACAAAACTGAGTAAGCAGAGAATTGCTCTAGAGAGAGCGAGCGCATCAACATACTTGTCTACATGCTAATAATTCTTCACCTGGCAGTATCCTATTTTGGGGTTCCTATGTGCATAAGCTGTCAGAACTCTCCTCAAGGCTGCTATCCCAGTTTCATTCTGGAAGGCTGGGTGCTCAGGTAATGAGCGATGCAGGTCCCGTTCAATCTCCTCTGTTGCCATGCAACACTTGCCCATTGACGCCTCCACTAAATTTCCGTAGTAACCAGGATGGGAGGCAAGATCAGTCACAGCATCTGAAGGCAGCAGTAAGAGGAAAACATGAGGATTTCAGGTATAATGTCATTACGTGAATTATTTGTCAAAAGAAAAAACGTGAAGAGGTTTTTTTCCCCAAGGTCTATGAAATTAGACATTACTTGCATTTAGTGAACCCCTGAACCTAAAAAGGAGTTAAAATACTAGCAGTGATTTTCTAAGGGGCAATGTTTGCACAGAAAATGAAAAAGCTATTGTTAAAGCCTAAATCACACAGTAGAAGAAAAGCCAGCTTGGTACTGACTTTGTACTGTGAAACATCCCCTGCTTAAAAGCATTGCTGGGATACATTTATTCAGTATTGAATGTAATGTCCAAAAAGAAAAAAAACTCCAAAAAGAAAAGGATTTAAGCCTTGCAAATGTGTCTGGAACTGGACCCAATAAATTGGAGATCACATTGTAGGGAACAATCCTGCTCAGACAGGGCAATGAATGAAATTACTTGGTAAGTCTTTTCCAGCTATAGATTCCTGCCAATTTTTTAAGGGAAGCAGCAGCACTGCAGACCTAAAGATGCCATAACTTCAAAATAGTTAGGTTTAGCTAAGATTAAATCAATACTTATATTACAGTCTAATTGTTGCCTCAAGAAGAACATTATTTCATAAACACGTGATGGCATTTTTATGCTAATTACATTGACAAAATTGCTATTATATCTGCGCACCACTAACCAATTATGAGACACAAAATAAAAATCTCTTATTGTTCTACCTAGGTATTTATACGGATACTATCCACACAGTATCTGAGCACCTCTCCTTCCTTCCTTCCTTCCCACTAGAGAATGTGATGGGATTACATGCCAAAATATCTAGCTTGGACACAGTTTTCCTTTGCTGAAGAACAATCTTTTGGCGCTTTCTTGCCTAAGTGCATCTGTAGCTGCGTTCAGCCCTGGATCCGGGCTATATCCAAGATGTATTATAGAGTTCTCACCTGAAAAGAGGAGCCAGAGTTTGCCTCGTAAAGATTCTGGGATTCCCATTGCAACAAGTTTTCTAATCTTCTCTGTGCGAAACATGCACACAGTTCTGCCGTATTCCGCAAAATGGTCATTCCACAGTCTTTCTTTTATTTGTTCCCTGGACTGGAAACCAGAGGATAAGTTTTAAAACAAGCAGTATGCTTTTAAGGTCTAATATTAAATACCCTCGATTTTCCTCTTTCATAAGGATTTATTTTGGACCAGAAAATGTGGTAATAGACACGGGAGATCTACTTTAAGGGGCAAATCCTGCCCCATTCTGCCCTTGGGGAGGAACCTATGCAGTCCCACTGCACCAGGGAAGAGCAACACTAGGCAAGACAATGAGAGCCCCACTGTGTGCCAGAGCCCAGCTCCATAGGGACTGCCTGCGAGCTAGTGCACCAGGGGATGCCCTGGTCCTTTTTTCCCCTCTCACAGCCTTTAGGATGAAGCAGTTCCACTCTGCAGTTGGGGAGAGGAGGTGCTAGTGTTGTGCTTTGGCCACTACTTCATGCTTTCTCTCACTACTAAGCTGCCAGAGGTCACAATTACTTCTCAAAAGGAGCTTACAGCAGCTCGACATTCATCGGGGGAGCCTGGGCAGCAGGGCCCCTTTCCCACACTCATGAAGTGGACAGAAGACTTCCCAAAAAGCCTTCAAGAAATCTCCAGCCATGGTTCTCACAGACCCGAGAGATTAGTTCTTGTGACTGTAAATAACCGAGATTATCCTAAAGATCACAAGTAAAAGGGCAAACAACTTATTTTAAATGATAGTAGCACTGACAATACCAGGCTTCCCAAATCAATTGGGAGTCTGAGGCAGGAGAGACAACCATGGGCTCCACAGGCCCATAAAGCTAGTTTTGTTTTGCTTTTTAAAGGGAAAGCTACACTGCTACCATGAATACTATGAGCTCTTTGCTCGATCCACTAGTTCATTACAACTCTTGTAAGACAGCACTGTTGAGAGGCAGTAGTAATAAGAGCCTGATAAAGTATAAGGTGTTGCAACTATGCAGACAGGATCCAACACCATGTCTCTATCAAAATACCATTTTTAAAAATTCACACATTTGTGGTTGTGACATCATGTGAAAAGGAGTACTGTAAAGAGACACCAGGTTTTACTTATTGTGGGAGGGATGGTAAATAAATATTTTGGGGGTGGAATGAGAAAAGAGCCAGGCAGGCAAAGGAGTACAAATGAACAAAGAAGCTTACTACAGTTTAAACTCAAAACACAACCACACTTACACTTTCCTGCCAATATATAGTTCACTTTATTAAAAGAGAGGGTTTGGCCAAATGAGTTACCATAGTTATTTTTAAGACTTATTTTAAAAAGTTACTCTACAATTGCACCCTAGCTGTACATACCATCCTGAAGTCACTCCCTTCAGCTCCGGACTGGTGAAAGACTGATCGTAGTGCCTCTGCATTTAACAAGTGACTGCTCTCCTTTTCACCTTCACTCTTGTCTTCGCTTTGGGAAGCCACCATTCCCAAATCCCGGGACTCACAGTCACTGAACACACATGTCGAATGAAACATGAGAGAGTTCTTGCAACATAGAATTAAAGAAAAAGAATTTTTGGAAAGAGTTTAAAAAAACTGTACTGTAGGCATAATGTTTGAGACAACAAGAGCCAACACAAACTAGTGAAGCAGGTAACTTTGTTATAGTCTTAACTTTTCCGCAAATTTGAAAATTTTGACCTAAAATTAAGTACCAAAATCCACAGTTAGGCACCTAATTAATAATGGCCTAATTAGTAGTTTTGCTGAGCACTTGCAGTCACCACATAAAGTCAATGGGAGCGGTAGGTGCTCAGCACCTCTAGATCAGGATTCCATTGCTACCTTCCCTCATATTTTTTAGGAGGGAACAGGAAGTGGTTTTCAATTCTGTTTTATAGCCAAGTTAGCTACTAGCCTTTACAACTGTGCTACTCCATCATCTGGATTTAGCGGGGACACCCCCAGGTTTTGATAAGCTACCCCAACACCCTAGCTTGGGAGCCAGAGCACCAGGACAGAGACATACAGATCATCCCGCGTTTCCCGGGGCTGAGTACCAAGTGGGATTATCATGCAGATAGAGGATAGTTAGCTTTGGTGAGGCCTTAGGAGGTAACCAGGCAGCAGTCCAGGATTCAGCCTGTGGCAGGTCAGTCTTCACATCAAATAATTAGTGAATTTTTGGAGTAACATAAACAGTTTCTTAATTGATTGAGGGGAGTGGGGCAGGACGACTGATTTTTGAACAGAGTGAGCATTCGTTTAAGGAAATTATTGATTTTTCATGTATAAAATAGAAAATGAGCAAGGAGCACAAAAGGGGCCACCCAGGAGATTGGGATGGGGAGGAATAACACAGGAAAGTGACCCAGAAGAAGCCTGAAAGCCCCCTGATGTGAGGGAAGTTCTCCACAACCTTATTCCTCAGTGGGGAGACAGAGTGTGGGAGATGCCTCCTAAAGACATGAAGGGAGGGGTGAAAATGCTTCTTCCTGAAAAATGCTGGGTTCCTGGAAGCTTAGCTGAATCCCAAGTCTTTAAGGCCATGAGAACTGACACTCAGACTGAAACTGCCTGTAATTCTCAAGGATATCAAAGTGCCATGCTCTGCCCTGCACTTCCCCTTGAGATTCCTAGAGTCCCAACTTTTTTCCCCAAGAGTGTCCCAAGAAAACCTTTTGAAATATAGTATCAGAGGGGTAGCCGTGTTAGTCTGAATCTGTAAAAAGCAACAGAGGGTCCTGTGGCACCTTTAAGACTAACAGAAGTATTGGGAGCATAAGCTTTCTTGGTAAAGTAGGTACTTACCCACGAAAGCTTATGCTCC